CTCATAAAATACCTCATGACCATTAGCTATTATTTTATATGAAGTCATCATTTTATAGTGTTTGGAAATTACTAAGGCATTGAAATAGGAAAATTGTTTTCGTGAAGAAAGACTCAGTTAGGAAATGAAGGAAATACTTGAGGAGGGTCCGTAGTTCTTATACCCATAATTTAGCTGCAGGTTTAGAGACATGGCCGTTATATAGGCATCTTGACCCTACCCAAGCCACAGAATTATTTGCGGATTAGTATATGTTGGGGCTTAAAGGGGCTCAATAATAACACTCTTGTTTTCTTCAACAAGCAATTGAGAGACGAGACAAGAGTAAGCAGGTAGAGAATAAAAATGCCGCCCTTATTAGTGATGAAACCACATTCTCTGCCAGGCATGGTGGCTCACACCTGTAATCCTAGCACTTTGGGAGGCCACAGTGGGTGGATCGCTTGAGCCCAGGAATTTGAGACCAGCCTGGGTAACATGATGAAATCCTGTCTCTACAGAAAATACAAAAAATTAGCTGGGAATGTTGGCCTATAGTCCCAGCTACTCAAGAGGCTGAGGTGAGAGGATTGCTTGAGCCCAAGAGGCAGAGGTTGCAGTGACCTGAGATTCTGCCACTGCACTCCAGCCTGAGCGACAGGGCGAGACCTTGTCTTAACGAAAAACAACCCCCACATTTTCCATGAATTTGAGGGATGAAGAAAAATGGGCATCCTACTACTGTGTATCCAAGATCTAGTGGCTCTGGGCCACAGCGGGCCTTCCTATGAGGGGCCCTGTCCCTGTCAGACATAGGCATGGTGGAGCAGAGCATCCCCTGTGCTTCCTGAGTGTAGCACCCAAGGGCGAAAGAAGGGGTTCACGTGCCCAGCTTGTCTCACAAACTCATCTCACAACTCACTCCCCTTGGGTGGGGGAGAAGTGGGGGTGGGCGAGAGGTCAGCATTGCTTAGGATAAAGCCTTTATTGTGGAAACCAGAGGAGTGGGGAGCAAGTGCTGTCTTCCCCCTCAGTTTAAGTAGGTCATGGGGTGACAGTTCTTTCTTTGTAAACACAGAAAAAAGGATATCCTTTGCGATTTAGACTAGCAAGGAAATACAAAGGATGATTAGAGGGAGATTTGTAAAATCACTGTAACAGATAACTTTTTTTTTTTTTTAGAGGGGGAATGGAGTCTCATTCTGTCATCCAGGCCGGAGTGCAATGGCGCGATCTCGGCTCACTGCAACCTCTGCCTCCCAGGTTCACATGATTCTCCTGCCTCAGCCTCCCAAGTAGCTGGGATTACAGGCGCCTGCCACCATGCCCAGCTAATTTTTGTATTTTTAGTAGAGATAGGGTTTTGCCATGTTGGCCAAGCTGGTCTCGAACTCCTGACCTCAGGTGATCTGCCCATCTTGGCCTCCCAAAGTGCTGGAATTACAGGTGTGGACCACCACACCTGACTGATAACATTTGTTGAACACTTAAAATGTGCTACACACATTTTATTTATTTTTATTTTTATTTTTTTGAGATGGAGTCTCACTGTGTTTTCCAGTCTGGAGTGCAATGGCACAGTCTTGGCTCACTGCAACTGCCACCTCCCAGGTTCAAGCAATTCTCATGCCTCAGCCTCCCAAGTAGCTGGGATTACAGGTGTGCACCACCATGACCAGCTAAGTTTTGTATTTTTAGTAGAGATTTTACCGTGTTGGCCAGGCTGGTCTCAAACTCCTGACCTCAAGTGATCCACCCGCCTTGGCCTCTACACACATTTTACATAAACTAATTTAACCCTTTAATCTTCACAACAACCAGGTAAGGTAGGTTGGATTATCATCCCAGTTTTGCAGATGTGGAAACTGAGGCATAGAGAGGTTGAGGAACTTGACCAAGGTTATGGAGCTAGTAAGTGGCAGAGCTGGGATTTAAACCCTGGCAGTTGGCTGGGCGCAGTGGCTCACACCTGTGATCCCAGCCCTGGGAGGCCAAGGTAGGCAGATCACAAGGTCAGGAGTTCGAAACCAGCCTGGCCAATATGGTGAAACCCTGTGTCTACTAAAAATAATAAAAAAAAAATTAGCTGGGAGTGGTGGCGCGCCTGTAGTCCCAGCCATTTGGGAGGCTGAGGCAGAAGAATCGCTTGAACCTGGGAGGCGGAGGTTGCAGTGAGCCAAGATCACACCACTGCACTCCAGCCTGGGCGACAGAGTGAGACTCCGTCTCAAAAAAACAAAACAGAAGAACAAAAAACAAAACAAAAAACCCCTGGCAGTCGGACTCAGCGTTGGTAGACGGGCTTCAGGCGCTTAGAGGTATCAGCATATCTATGGTTCCATGTGTACATCTATACGTCAGTCAGCGGGCCGGCCTGTATGGAAAGGCTGGGACAGAGAGAGTTATGCAGCATTGGCATTTGTGTCTTGGCCACTGACACAGAGAGTGCACTGCGGTTTGCAGTGTCCACAGAGAGTGCACGGCGGTTTGCATTAATCATTTGTGTAGGCAGCAGGTTTCTCCTTGTAACAGAACTTTAGTCCATCAAATTCATCTGGAAAACTCCTGTTCAGAGAAAGTGGAGTTTTCTAGATGAACTTGATTTGTATTTCAACAAAATACAACTACTGAATTCTGTTTCCGGGAAGGGAGTGGTATTCAGTTCCCCATCTGAACACTTTAATGCCCCTAAATAAAAACGAAAGACAGGGGCTCACAGAGGCTCATCTTAGAACAGGAACAAACTGAAGCATCGGCCTCCTCCCTTCATCTTGTAGACAGGGGTGGTGGTGTTAGGCTTTGTTATTCAGGTGCCAGGATCCTGCTGTAGAGGTGACAACCACTAGGAAAGGGCCTAGAAACCAGCATTTGGTGTATGAGGGCATCCTCTGTAATGGTCCCAAATGAGACGTATGGACCTGACTTTTACTTACCTCCTGCCGGTGATTTGGCCTTTGAAGAGAAAATGTGCTGATCACTGAACCCTGATATTTGATTTGATTGATAATTTTGTGTCCCCTATTACATTAATGGTTAAACCTCCAGTTTTCCTATATCAGTCTCTTGCAAGTTTGGTTAATGTGAAATCAGTCCACTAGAGGCTGATGATACTAATAATTGAATGATTGATGACTGTGATAATAACTCTAAGGCATCAAAGCTTTAATTCATATCCCCTATCTAAAGGACATGGCACAGTATAATATATTTGGCCAGGTTCTTCACAGAACAAAACGTTTGTAGGATTATCTGGAAATGCAGACGTCCTCAAGGTCTGTGCAGCTGAATGTGTGCTCAATGCAGACCTGGGACCTGGTGTCGTGGCCTGTGCGATGGTGGGGCTTCCCTCGGCTCCTCTGGGCTTCCGTCTCCCCATAGACAGTGAGGGCTAATACCTGTTTACTTTGTAGGGTTGCTCTGAAGGTCATACATAGTATTTGTTAAGCATCATGCTTGGCATAAAGGTGTTATTCAATGGAAAACACCTGTTTTTTATTTTAATGGTGGCTTCAAGATTGCAGTGATTTTTAGTCTACATTTACAAACAGAGATGACTGTACACAAAATAGCTCTTAAATAGCACCATAATCATGGGGCCTCTTCTCTATGTAGACAATTGAATAGATGTGCTATTTCCATAAGATTATTGGGACATACCTTTTTGAATCTTCTTAACATGTTTAAAAATGAGAATAGCTAATGATAAACATGACTCTTGGAACCAGTACCTCTTGAGGTGTGTTTTGCCGTGATGGGAAATTGCATTCTATAGGGAAGTCTAATTGGATCACACAGATATTTGGGTAGTTTAGCAGACCAGCAAGGCTTTCAAAAGTTTCTTCATAATAGTGAAGTTAATGGTTTTGTTTTGTTTTGTTTTGTTTTTTTTTTTTTTTGAGATGGAGTCTCGCGCCGTCGCCCAGGCTGGGGTGCAATGGTGCGATCTCAGCTCACTGCAAGCTCCGCCTCCCGGGTTCACGCCATTCTCCTGCCTCAGCCTCCTGAGTAGCTGGGACTACAGGCGCCGCCACCGCGCCGGGCTAATTTTTTGTATTTTTTAGTAGAGACGGGGTTTCACCGTGGTCTCGATCTCCTGAGCTTGTGATCCGCCCGCCTCGGCCTCCCAAAGTGCTGGGATTACAGGCGTGAGCTACCGCGCCGGCGGTTTTGTATTTTAAACTAACTACAAAGCTAGCTTCTAAAAGTTGGAAATCTTTAACTTGATCAAGTATTCAGTTGTGTGTGTGCATGTGTGTGTGAGAGAGAGAGAGAGAGAAAGAGAGAGAGAGAGGTATTTTAGGGGGGTTGTGAAAAGTTCCATAGAGCCTCTGGCACCTTTTCTCCCCCATTCTAGGTTGCTGACATACATTTGCGCAAATAGTTATCCTTTGTCACTTTGCTTATTTGTGGAAATAAGGAATTCTCATATTTGTTTAAGAAGAGCTGGGAGGTCGAGTACAGTGGCTCATGGCTGTAATCCCAGCAGTTTGAGACCAGCCTGGCTAACATGGTGAAACCCTGTCTCTACTAAAAATACAACAACAACAACAACAACAACAACAACAACAAAAAAGTAGCCGGGCGTGGTGGTGCACTCCTGTAATCCCAGCTACTCAGGAGGCTGAGGCAGGAGAATTGCTGGAACCCGGGAGGCAGAGGATGAAGTGAGCCGAGATCACGTCACTGCATTCCAGCCTGGGCGACAGAGCAAGACTGTGTCTCAGAAAAGAAAAAAAGAAGAGCTGGGAGCATGAACATAGAAAGTGGGAAGGCAGAGAGGTGAAGAGGCACTCAACAATTTGTTTAGGGTATGAGTAATAGTAGCTTTTCTTTTATCTTTTCCTGTCTGAAGCAAAAAGGCACCAAACTTGTAACATACGGTTCCTCAGAATTGCTTTTCTGATCGGATACAAGTCAGATTTTTCTCCAGGCTATGTGAATTATGAAATGTGTTTTAGTAGTTATTTTTAAAAGTAGTTTTGTTTTCCAAATAAAATACCATAATCTGTTCTTTCTTCCAGGGGCACAGGAAGTTCTCATTGATCCAGGTACATGATCTATGTGTTTAGTTTCTTTTGGTTATTTTTTTTAAGTGCTTGTTTCATGGTGATGTGAATGAATGGTTAAAATTTCTGGATGATGATCTTTGGAATATTCTGATTTAAGTAACTTTAAATCAGAACTGTTAAAACGTGATGATTGATGGGTCCTTGCTTGATGGGCACCCCGTTGCTTTATGTTATCTGTTGAAGAGGAGGCTTCAAGGAGGCTTCTTCCTCTAGCATGGCTAAGTGAATGATTGGAGAATTGTGCCTTTAATTCTTTGAATGCATTGAGCATGTTTGTCCTGTTAATTTTGAATTCATTTGTAATCATGACTTTGCTCTGATTTGTGGCTTGTGCTCCCTTCCACGTGAGTTCATTCTCTACTGCATTTCGTCTCTGTGTTCTTAACAAGAAAAAAAATCTTGTATTTTTTTACAGAGGCAGATTTTTCTTTCCCTTTGTAATATCTTCTGTAATTAATACAGCAAAAACCTCTTTTATTACACTGCTTAATTATTTCATGATGGGCTCTATTATTTTCTGACTTAATGAGAAACAATGACAGGGTAAATAGTACAAAATGAAAACAGCCTAGAATTGAAATCAGATGGCTGTGCTTAACGCAGGCTTTGTGACTAACACGTTTGCTTTCATCTCCTTGTGCATCTTGGCTCCGAAATGAAGTTGCCTCAGGTTTGCAGGCGTTGGTTTTAATATTTGCATTTACTCCTTTCTCTAGGCCAGTGGCTAAGTTTCCTGATGGGGTTTGTGGAATGTGTAGAGAAAGGACAATAAATGCTCAGTTTGGGTTTCAGGAGAACTGAGTTGCTGATGAGAAGACATCTGGGGGACAGTCAGGAGGGTAGACTTTATGCCACGGAGGTGCTGAAAGCCCCGCCAACACTGATGACAAATGAAATGGATGTTGAAGGTACTGGTATTTGACCAGTACGAGTTGCTGAGCCCCAGTTTGGCTGGTTATGCCTGCTATAAAATACCGCACTGCAGTGTGTCAGTCGCATTAGTTGTAGGAGAATTAGATGTGTCCACCGTATAGAAGTAGCTCAGAGCTGTAAGGAAAATCAGGCGTTTGTTGAGATAAGGCATTTTAAAAACATTTCTGAAGCTTTTCAAGATAAGGTTGTGTAGAGGTGAAATTGAGTTTAGAGTGCTGGGAGGAAAAGTGAGGAGATTCTGTAGGGCTTTGTTATTCGAGGGTGCATCAGGGTCCTGCTGTAGAGGTGAAAACCGCCAGGAAGGACCCAGAAACCAGTGTTTGGTGTGTCAGGACATCCTCTGTCATGGTCCCAAATGAGAAATGTGTGGACCTGACTTCTCTTTACCAATGGGAGAGCGAGTAAAGAGAATGAAAGGCCGTCCTGGCCCCACGTTCTGATTCCTGCTTTCCAGGCCACCCCAGTTCCTGCTAATGCCTTCTGGCCTCTGCTTGCGGAGACCTTTGTATCAGGACTGACTTGCTACTGAAATCATATCTGTGTTTCAAGTGTTGGTCGTTTCTAAACCCTTGCAAATGTGTTAGCAGTGACAGTGCTGGTAGGGAATCTTCCCAGCTCCTAGGAGCAATGCAATTTGCTTCTCCACAGCCTCTCCATCTGAATAGCTAACACTCTCTCAGGGGTTGTAAAAGTGTTCAGCTCCTGGAAAACCCATTCACATGAAGCTATCACAAAATTACATCACTTTCATTTCATTTTTGAGTTTTAAATGGACATAATGTTTGAAGCAAGCTGTTTCCAAATTCTTTTCCTACCAGCTTTCCCCACCACCGTTTCCAAAACCAGAAGAAGAGTTTCACGGTTTTCGGGGGGTCCTCCATCTCTTATCCTAAGAACTAAGCTTCCCCTCCCTGCATTTCTAGCAGCTAGGCCTTTGTGTTCTTTATCTGCATTTTTAAAGTGGCATGATTCTTAAAACTCTTTTTTCTTTGTTTTTTTTTTTTCCTTTCCTTTCATTTCTTTTTTTTTTTTTTTTTTTTTGGGAGACAGGTTCTCACTCTGCCGCCGAGGCTGGAGTGCAGTGGTTATTCACAGCGCCAACCTAGCTCACTGTGCCCTCAAACTCCTGGACTCAGGCCAGTTCTCCCACCTCAGCCTCTGGAGTAGCTGGGACTACAGGTGTGCACCACCATGCCCAGCTAATGTTTTAATTTTTTCATAGAGATGGGGTCTCTCTGTGTTGACCAGGCTGGTCCTGGCCTCAAGCAATCCTCCTGCCTTTACCTCCCAAAGTGATTACAAACGTGAGCCACTGTGCCTGGCCTTTTTTTTTTTTTTTTTTTAAATTTAATTTCTAAACATTTCATGTACATTCAGCAGCCACTTTACATAAAATGATCTTTTGGATAATTTTAGTTAACTCATAGGTGCTTTTTCCATTTTCATGTTGAGGAGAGTTTCTTCTTCCTGTAATAAAAATTAGCAGTTTGCAGTTATTATGTGACAGACAATGTTCTAAGGTGCTTTTTTTTTTTTAAAACAAACAAACTACTTTCAATGCAGTTTACCTATTTAAAGGGTAAAATCCTGTCATTTTTAGTATATTTACAGAGTTGTGCAACCCTCACCACAATCAGTTTTAGGACATTCTCATAACCCCAACAGGAAGCCGTGTACCCGTTAGCAGTCACTCTCCTTTGCCTACGTCCTTCCCTTACCCCCAAGCAACTAGTAAGCTACTTTCTTTCTCTATTATTTGCCTGTTCTGGACTTCTCATATAAATGGCATCATACATATAATGGTATGTCGTTTTTGTGACTGGCCTCTTTCACTTACTGTATGTTTCAAGGTTCATCCGTACAGCATGTGTCGGTATGCATTGTGTCAGTATGCATTTATTTTTCTTCTTGCAGAATAATATTTCATTCTGTGTATATGTGTGTGTGTGTGTGTGTGTGTGTGTGTGTGTGTGTGTATATGCCACATTTTGTTTTTCCATTCCATCAGTTGATGGACATTTGTATCGTTTGTACCTTTTGGCTATTATGAATAATGATGTTATAAACATTTGTGTGGACATATGTTTGTTTGATTTATTGATTGGTTGATTGATTGATTGAGATGGAATTTTGTTCTTGTTGCCCAGGCTGGAGTGCGGTGGTACAGTCTTGGCTCACTGCAACCTCCGCCTCCTGGGTTCAAGCAATTCTCCTGCCTCAGCCTCCCAAGTAGCTGGGATTACAAGCGCTTGCCACCAAGGCTGGCTAATTTTTTTTGTATTTTTACTAGAGATGGCATTTCACCATGTTGGCCAGGCTGGTCTTGAACTCCTGACCTCAGGTGATCCCACCTCAGCCTCCCAAAGTGCTGGGATTACAGGTGTGAGCCCCCGTGCCTGGCCCATATGTTTTAAATTCTATTATGTGTATGCCTTGGATGGGGAGTTGCTGGGTCATATGGCAACTCAACATTTAACTTTCTCAGAAACTGCCAGATTGTTTTCCAAAGTGGCTGTACCACTTTACATTCCTACTAGTAATGACTGCAAGTTCTAATTTCTCTGCTTTCTTGTCAATACTTGTTACCTTTTTGATTGTGGCCATCCTGGTGGATGTGACCTGGTGTCTCATTGTAATTTGGGTTTGCGTGTCCCTTATAGCTAATGATGTGCATCTTTTCATGTGATTATTGTCATCTCTATATTTTCTTTGAAAAAATATGTATTTAGATAGTTACCCATTTTTAAATTGGGTTGTCTTTTTGTCTTTTTATTGTTGAGTTGTAACAGTTTCTTTGCTTTTTTTTTTTTTTTTTGTGAGACGGAATCTTGCTTTGTCACCCAGGCTGGAGTGCAGGGGCGTGATCTCGGCTCACTGCAACCTCTACCACCTGGGTTCAAGCGATTCTCCTGCCTCAGCCTCCTGAGCATCTTGGATTACAGACACTTGCCACCATGCCTGGCTAATTTTCGTATTTTCAGTAGAGATGAGGTTTCGCCATTTTGACCAGGCTGGTCTCAAACTCCTAACCTCAGGTGATCCACCCACCTCGGCCTCCCAAAGTGTTGGGATTACAGGCGTGAGCCACTGCACCTGGCCAGTAACAGTTTTTTATATATTCTGTATATGAGTCCTTTATCTGATGTATGATTAGCAAGATTTTTCTTTCATTCTGTGTGTTATCTTTTCATTTTCTTGATATGGTGTCCTTTGAAGCATACAAGTGTTAAATTTGGATGAAATCCAGTTAATGTTGTCTTTGTTCCTGTGCTTTTGATGTCATATCTGCGACTTAAGATGCTATATATAAACTTTACACCTAAAGCAATTTAATCTTCACGATTCTAGGAGACAGGTACTGTTGTTATGCCTAGTCTACAGATGGGGAAACTGAGATGCAGGAAGGTTGTCTGACTCGCTGAGGGTCATAGTTAGTAAGTGGTGAAGTGGGTATTCAAACCCATGAGTTTGCACCCAGGATTTATCCTCTTAACCACCATGCTCTATTGCTTTTTATAGGGAATCATTTATTGAAAACTCTTTGCTTATTTGATTTCTTGCCTTTTTTTTTTTTTTTTTTGTCATGAGGGACCTCATCTCTTCATTCACCTTGCAGAGTTCAGCGTAGGTTTATTTTGGTCTAACGCAGGCAGAATCATTACTATCAGTTAATTTCTGCATTACTTACTCTCCAGTGATGGTCGCTGCTAGTTAACCTAACAAAGCCATTTAAGGCTTTTCTGCTCATCACACTAATAAAAGTAGCGCCACGACCACGGAAAGTTCAAAAACAGTATTTGATTGATTCCATTTCAATGGAATCAAAGGAAGAAATCCCCAGTGTTGACGCAGATTGTAAGCCTTTCCAGAATAGGGTTGTTGTCTTCCTTTTTTTCCTGTTGTTCACTCATAGTGTCCAGCATAGTGCCTCATTGTCCAGCGGATTAGCTAGAGTATGGCGGTCTTCAGTCACTGTGTACAAGACAGAATATTGACAACAGTATCTGTTGTTTGTTTCACAAGGGAAAAAGTCATATAGAAGTATC